CCTGCGTGCACTGCAGCCCTGCATGCCCCGCGCGCCCTGCTGCCCTGCAGCCCTATGCGCCCTGCTGCCCTGCAGCCCTGTGCGCCTTGCTGCCCTGCTGCTGCCGCTACAGCCCTTGCTGTTGCCGCTACAGCCCTTGCTGCTGCCCTGTGCGCCCTGTGCGCCCTGCTACCGTGCTGCTGCCGCTACAGCCCTTGCTGTTGCCGCTACAGCCCTTGTTGCTGCTCTGCGCGCCCCGTGCGCCCTGCAGCCCTGCTGCGCCCCGTGCGCCTTGCAGCCTTGCGCGCCCCGCGCGCCCTGCTGTCCTGCTGCCCTGCGCGCCCTGCGTGCACTGCAACCCTGCATGCCCCGCGCGCCCTGCTGCCCTGCAGCCCTGTGCGCCCTGCTGCCCTGCTGCCCTGTGCGCCCTGCTGCCCTGTGCGCCCTGCTGCCGTGTGCGCCCTGCTGCCCTGTGCGCCTCGCGCGCCCTGCTGCCTTCAGCACACGCCATGCACAAACCCCCCCCCCCCCCCCCTCCCCTTCTCCTACCTCCCCCTGCTGCGGGTGCAGCAGTGGGGGGGAGGGGATCTACAGCACCAGCCCCCCCCCCCCCCCGCCCCCCCCCCCCCCCCCCCCCCCCCCCCCCCCCCCCCCCCCCCCTTCTCCTCCATCCCCTGCTGCAGGTGCAGCAGTGGGGGAGGGTATGGGGGTGGCGGGTGTGGGTGTAACTGCGGGGTGGCGGGTATGGGGGTGGCGGGTGTGTGAACCGTCCCCTCCTCCTCCTCCACCTTCGTCTCCCACTGCTACAGCTGCCGCTGAGGGGGTGGGTGTGTGGGAGCCGAGGGAGTGGTGCTAGGGGGGTGACGTGGGAGTGGAGCTAGGGGTGCAGCAAGGGGTGTGTATAAAGGGGGTGGGACAGTTGGGGGAGGTTGAGCGGAGGCTACCGCCTTGTCGTCCGCAACACCTGTAGTCTGGGGCTCTGCTTCTGGTAGCTCAGAGAGCCTGCTGCGCCTGTCACCAGTGGGTCCGTTGCTCCTGCCGCTCAGAGTTAGCCGCAGAGCCAGTTACTCCTGTAGTCCGAGGCCCTTGCTCTGGTAGCCACAGTGCGCGCCGCTCCTGTTGCCCGTGTGTCTGCAGCATCAGCAGTCGCCTCCTATCTTCTCTCCTCTCACAGTCCAGCCTCCTCCTCACTTGCCCTTTGTGTATGCCTCTAGCTTTGCTTGTACTTGTGAACCTGCTCTATGACTGTTTGCTCTGCTGATTATACCCCACTTTGACTATGGGGGTGTGTCAGAATGTATTTGCTGTCTAGCCTTCAGTGGGGTACTTTGTAATGAGTACAGCCCAATTTAGGGCGTTGTAATTGTATCCCAACTCTTGCTAGTGAAACCTCTCATTCTCCTTTTCAATTATCTCGACACTCAATCTTCTCGATACTCAACTCTCTCGACACTCACTAGCTATGGCTCCTAAGTCACGCTAGGATTATCACACTGCCTTCTCCGCCCTCAAAAATATTCTCTGTTCACCGTCCGTACTGCGCATCGCCAACCCACACCGCCCATTCGAAGTAGTTACAGACGCAGGTGACATCGCCATCAGAGCAATACTGCTATAAGATTTCTGCGACCCGACCGCATCTGGGTACCAGGATACACACTGCTACGGGAATTACTGTTACAAGAGGCACATGACAGAGTTTCCTCGGGGCACTTCGGGGTGGAGAAAACATGGCAGCAGCTGCAGAGGTACTACAACTGGCCCAAAATGTTGACCGGCGTACAGCGACACGTGGCATTGTGTCCAGCTTGCTAGCTCATGAAATCATCACAGAAGCGGCCGACAGGACAGTTGCAACCGATACCACCCCCAGAGCGTGCTTGGCAGCAAGTGACGATGGGCTTTGTCAAGGGGTTACCGGCCAGAGCGAGTGGGAACGACGCGATACTGGTCGCCGTCGATCGACTGACGAAAGTGGCACACTTTTGCGGCCTGCAAGAAATCAATCATAGCCGAAGAAACAACCCGCCTCTTCATCACCACCGTCGTTCGACTGTACGAGACACAAGGCATACATTGCCTTGTTATCGACGTACAGAACTGGAGGAGAACGAGGCACCTCGCCCAAGTCGGTCAGCAGGTAGGTGAGCCAACGCAGCTCCTGTGCAGCCATGGCCCCTGCATAGGTCTCAGCCTCACAGCTGGAGCTGAGAACAGAAGAAGAGCGGATAGACCGCCAAGAGACAGAACCAGAGCCAAGGCTGAAGGTGTAACCCTGTGATGACCGCTACGTAGCCAAGTCGTCAACCCAAGAAGCGTCTGCGTGACCAGTGAGGACAACTGGACCCCGCCCTCCAAGCACGAGCCCCATGCCTGACGTACTGCACAAGTAACACATCACCTTCTTAGCTGCCTTCCAGTGCTATGGATGGTGTCTCCCGTGCGCAACGTAGCGTGCCAGGATGCTAAGAGGGTAAGCTGAGGTCAGGGCGAGTGCAGGTCATCAGGTACATGAGGCAGCCCACAAGCTCTGGATACAATCCATTCGGCTCTACGGACTCATCCGAAGGCAGAGCTAAGAGCGAGTGACCAGTGGGCAGAGGAGTGCACTATGGCGAGGAGAACTGGAAGTCGAAGCGCTGAAGGACCTGCTGCACCATGTATGACTGGGTCAGAGTGATGGTGCGGCGTGCTCTGTCCCGAGTGATCTGCAAGCCAAGATAGCTGCGCAGGTCACCCAGGTCTGTGCATGTGTATCTCTTCTGCAACTCCGACTTCACTAGAGTCAGTACCTCAGTGTCACCAGTAGCAAAGACCAAGTCGTCGACGTACACGAGGATGTAGAACGGCGGCAGAGAAGTGTCAATGCGTAGAAACAGCGACGGGTCAGCATTAGAAGGAGCAAACCCAAGAGCCGCAAGTGTAGTCCTCAGTGTGTCCTGCCACTCACGAGGTGCCTGGCGGAGACCGTAGACTGGCCGCCGGAGGCTCCACTGGGTACCAGGGGCAAACGACCCAGTGAAGCCAGGAGGGCGGCGCAGCCAGATCTCCTCGTGCAGGCTGCCCTGTAGAAAGGCTGTGCTGAAGTCAAGAGAGTGAAGCTTGTAGTCGCGCTGAACAGCGACGTGCAGCAGTACCCGAAGATTGGTCATCTTCGGGGTGGGAGAGAAGGTCTGAAAGTAGTCAACTCCCTGCCGCTGACTGAAGCCACGAGCCACGTAACGCGCCTTGAAGACAGGCGGAGAACCCGGCGGCCGCTTCACCCTGAAGATCCACATGCCATCAACAATTTTCGCCCCAGGTGGGGGAACCTCGTCGACGTAGGTGCCTGTGGACTTCCAGGAAGCCATCTCTACGTCCATGGCTGCCTCCCACTGAGAGGAGTAGGGACGACCCTCAACCGCCTCTGCGTAAGAGCGGAGAGTCGGGATGTCTAGTGCATCCGGGTCTCCCTCAGGGGCAAGCAGCATGGACAGGAGATGAGGTAAAGCAACAGCCAAACACTGGAACTCCTCCTGCCTGTCCTCAAGGACGTCCATGCCAAGGGCACACTCACCCCGACGCACGGAGGACATATAGACCCAGACTCAGCAACAAGACTGGCAACTTAGTCTAGACGGCAGCGAGCAAGCAAAGTCGACAAGCTCGGCATCTAGCGCAGACGCAGCAGCAGACTCAAAGGAAGGGTCAACGACAACGGTAGCCAGGAGACGCGTGACAGTGGGACTAGCAGCACGAAGGGAGTCAGACTCAGGGTCAGCAAGGGCAGAAAGAGAGGACTTAGGAGGAGACGGGAGAGGGACACGCGGTGGAGCAGTGGAAGGACGCAGAGTCATCTGGTGCGTGCCAGCGACAGAAGGAGGACGCGAACTATGTCGCGATTTATGTAGCGAAGAGGGCCGCATAGTAACTGAGACAGCGCCAAGAGTTGGCAGCAGGGAGAGTGGGAGGATGTAGCAGAAGCTGAATCTAAAAGGGCGGAGGGAAGAAGGGTGGGTGTACATATTTGTAAATAATGCTTAAGAATGCATGCATGAGAATGGTGGGTGTATGAGTTGGGGTGGGTGTATGTTCGTTTGTATCCTGTGCAGGGCGAGAGCTGTTGACGCGAATAAGCACAGCACAACCGACAGGTGGCAGAAGCTGCAGTTGAACATGCACGCCAAGCTTGCAGCTGGCGAAGGGCTTGCGCTGGAGCCCATGCAGATTCAGAGCGCCTGCGGTTTGTAAATATGGCTCGGCACCCCGAGCTCGCCCATGTGATGTTTGCTTGCTAGAAGCGCCAGGCTAGGGCAGCAAGGTTGTCTTGTACATAGCAGAGCTGAAACCCTAGTGTTGGCTGCTTCGTTGTATGTTTCCCGTTTGCTCCAATGTAATCCTGTTAACCCAGTCACAAGCAGTCATGAGCCCGCTAGGGAACCAGCTTGTCAGCCAGTAGTGGGAAGGAGATTTTCTGACATACAAAGAAGGAAATCTCCGGAGTAAAGCGCCTTGGACAGCGCATGCAGACACGCTCTGGGAAGCGTTACGACTGCTGGCCGCCTGTATTGGCGGCGATGGCGACGCCAGGGTGGCGTGCAGGAGAAGTCACGGGGAGCGAGGAAAGGACGCAGGCGGGCGATACGGAAGACGGTGTCCGCAGAGAGGCCTACACGGCACCGCATCGGAGGCACAGCATGGGTTACCTGCCGAGCGAAGGTCGGGACGCGATGAGAAAGCTCGACGGGGGAGACCGCTGGTGGGAGCCACCATGGGAGGGTCACCGTCGCGCGCGGGAAATGCGCAAGGAGAAGGCGGGTACCGACGGCGAGCTGCTCGGGCGCTTGAGGCGTCTCTCCTTGTCAGAGCATCAAGTGACGGAGGTAGCGCGCGCGGGCAACGTGAAGTACGCCGCGCTACCCAAAATAGAGGTGCCCGAGCGCTTCGCAGGCACGCCAGGCGTGGGCACCAGTCTGAAGAATTACATGATGCAGATCCGCAACGCGCAGTATCGCTGGATGAAGGACGGGCTAGTGCCAGAAGACTTCTTCCGGGGACTCTCAAACACCGTGACAGGAGAAGCGGAGACCGCGTATGGCATGGAGCTGGAACGCATGCTGAGTGAGCCGGCACAAGCCAGCGGAGTGACCTGGGACGAAGTGGCACAGTTCTTCGACACGCTGAAGCGCCACTTCCCAGTACAGACGCCGGAGCGCATGAGGGAGTTCGCGTCGTTCAAAAGGAAGACGGGAGAATCTCTGCTAGCAACGTACGGCAGACTGCGCAAGCTAGCGGCGGACATGGAGTGCAGGGATGAGTGGAGGCTGGTCTCCAAATTCCTCAACTGCCTGGACGAGCGGGTGGCCGGGGATGTACGAGGAAGGGTGTTCGAGATGGGACCATCGGCGACGCCGGTGTACGCGTACGAGCTGGCGAAGAAACACGAGCTGGGACTCCGCCTATATGAGATGGAGAGAGGCGGTATGCAGGCCGAGGGACGACATGGGTCGGCTAGGGCGGCCGTGGCAGCCGGAGAAGCCTCCAGTAGGCGTGCCACACGGGAGGCGGAGACGCGCAGATGTCATCGGTGCGGGCTGGAGGGGCATCTACAGCGGGATTGCAGCAGGCCGCCAAGGTGTGATCACTGCCAGAAGGAAGGGCACATGCGACGGGGATGTCCAGAAGTCCCCACCTGCGAGAACTGCGGCAGGCGAGGACATCGGACATCTGATTGCTACAGCCGGAGACCAGGATCGGCGGGACCCAGAAACGAGAAAGACTTGGAGGCGCAGCTTCTGGTGCTGCAAGCACGGATCCGGGAGCTAGAAGGTTCGGCGCACAAGGAGGCCGCCATGCTGGCAAGAGAGGAGGAGGAGGGGAGTAGCGAAGCAGAGTTTGTGCTTGTGGTGCGGGCGCAACGGCAGCGAGAGGAGATAGAGCTCAAGAGTGATCAAGGGGAAAGGAGAGAGCTGCCCGCCCGAGGGTCAGGCGGTTTCGTGGGTACGCGGCTGAGCCGGAGCAAGAAATGACATCAGAAAGACCTCCCAAGGAGCGCATGGTGTGTCAGCCATCGGTGCTGACAATCGAAAAGGGGGCAATCACGGTGGGAGGGGTGACGGTGGCGCAAGCGATCATCGACACCGGAGCACATCATATCCTCCTGGGGAAAGGCTTGGCTCAGAGGCTGGAAATAGATCTGCCGAACCGGCTGATTACACGGGGAATCCTGGTGATGACGGCAGAGGGAGGAGAGCCGAAGTGGATGCCCTGCACCCGCATGCCAGTGGAAGTGATCCTGCAGCCTGGCACCAAGGACGAATGTCGAATCCGGATGCGGTGCGGCATATCGCCGTCAGAGGATTTTGATTTGCTGATAGGCATGGAACTGTTGTATCGGGTGGGAGCCACCATCTGCACCTGGCAAGAGAAGGTCCTCTACCAGACTCAGTACTGGAGGAACGATGGGCCCGTGGGCACCCTACCTGTGCACTTTGTCAGACGCGAGCCGAGGGAAGCCTTTCCAGTGCGCATGGCGCAAGTGGAAGAGCAGATTGAAGATTGGTCCTGGAAGCAATACGTGCTGGAGTAGGAGACGCGCAAAGCGGAAGAAGAAAGGACCGAGCGGCCCTTGGCGCTGCCCCCAAGGCTGACAGATCTAACGCACCTGCAGGAACCGATCACCATTGTCGAGCTGTTCAGAGGGATCGGAACGGGGCTGGCTGCAGCACCAAAGGCGGGATGCAGAATACAGAAGTGGATACTAGTGGAGATAGATCCTGTGGTGCGCAGAATGGCCTTCAACCATGCAAGGAAGCTAAGAGGGATCTACCCGGCTCAGCTGATGTTGGGGGTAGAAGCAGAGGCGGAAGAAGAATCGATCTACGACATCAGGGAGGTGGCGGCAGAGGGCTGAACAGCGGCTGTTGGACCTGCAGGTGGAAAGGCAGCAGCAGAGAGAGCGAGGTTGGGCTCTAATGGCGCTGGAAGTTTTGCCGGCAAGAAGAGAAGCGGTGGCAGCCGGCGAGCCGATGTCACCAAACGGGGCTGGGGTGGCAGAGACGAGCATGGGGCAGCAAGAGCCAGGGGCGGGGTCGGAACCGGAGACCGAGACAGAAGGAGGGGGAAGCACAGTGGCAGGCCGACCAGCAGCAGAGGAGGATGGAGCATGGGAAGTAGGAGAAGGGTTGAAGGGAGACCTGCGGGAGCAGATGTGGAGCGTGCTGAGGAGGCTCCGACAGGCATTTGCCTTCACACTGCCGGAGCTCGGCAAATACAACGAGGGAGAGATGGAGATTCGGCTGACGGAGGAGGTATCGGTGTACCAGCGCAAACGCCCCATGAGCCCAGGAGATCTCGATCTGTGCAGAGAGAAGTGTCGGGAATTGCTAGAGGCAGGGCTCATCAGGCCCTCTGAGTCGGAGTATGCGGCTGCCACCGTGGTGGCCGCGAGGAAAGAACTCACAAGAGAAGTGCTGTCACGACGCATGTGCGGAGACTACAGGGACCTCAATAAGCTGACGGTGGCGAATCGCTATCACATGCCCACGCCAGAGGAGATATTCGACAAGTTGCAGGGGGCAGCGATCTTCAGCACGCTGGATCTTCGCCAGGGATTTAATCAAATACGAATCACGGACGCGGATGTGAGGAAGACCGCTTTTCATGGGCCGGACGGACTGTACGAATGGTTGTTCATGCCTTTCGGGCTAAAGAACGCGTCGGCAGTATTCCAGAAGGCAATGGACCGGGTGCTGCGAGCGTTGCAACACTGCGCGGCCTGCTACATAGACGACGTAGTTGTGTTCAGCGCAACGCCTGAGCAGCACGTGAAGGATGTGCAGCAGGTCTTGGAAGCTATCAGGGGAGCCGGACTCACATGCCACCCCAAAAAGTGCCGTTTCGGCACGAATACGGTGCGGTATCTGGGCTTTGAAGTGGGTGGAGGCCAAATGACCATTCAGCAAGCGAAGGTCGCAGTGCTGGACAACCTGGCGACCCCGAGTGGTCGCTCCGCGCTGAGGGCAATTCTGGGCTTCTTGAATTACTACCGTAAGTTCGTGCCGAACTTCAGCAGGCGGGCGGCTCCGCTGAATAGGCTGCTGCGGGAGGACGTGGCCTGGAAGTGGGGAGAGGCCGAGCAGGGGGCACTACGGGACCTGCTGGAAGCTGTGAAGGCGGGACCGGTGCTTCTGCTGCCGAAGCCAGAGGCCAGGTTCGTGCTGTACACTGACTGGAGCAGCGCAGGCATGGGAGCAGTGCTCAGCCAACAGACTGATCAGGGGGAGAGGGTGGTGGCCTTTGCGAGTCGCAGCTGCAACGCAGCGGAGGCAAACTACAGCTCCTACGAGGGAGAAGGGTTGGCGGCGGTCTGGGCGGTGACGCATTTCCGAGTATATCTGCAAGGGCGCGAGTTCACACTGGTGAGAGACCACCAGCCGGTGCTGTGGCTAATGACTAATCATACGCTGACAGGCCGCAACGTGCGGTGGGCCATGCGGTTGCAGGAATTCGATTTCGTGGTGAAGCACAGGCCAGGCCGGACGCTTCAGCACGTGGATGGGCTATCGCGTAACCCGCCAGCGGCAGAGCCAGTGGCTGGGCTCGTGGCTCTGGCAAGAGAAGCAGAAAAGCAGGGGGAGCAGCGTCAGGAGCAGCGCGGAGCGGCCGATATATGGCAAGACGAAGAAGCTCTCAGGTGGCTGCGGGGAGAGACGGAGGCAGAAGAGCCTACCTCAGAGAGAGCACGGGCAAGGGGACAGCACTACAGGTGGTATGCGGGGCAGGTACAGCTGAGGACCAAGGAGGGGTGGAAGCTGGTGCCCGCGCCAGCGGAACGAGAAGGCATCATTGACAGGGTGCACCGACAGTTGGGGCACTTCGGGCACGTCAGGACGACCCAGCTGGTCAACACGGGCTGGTGGTGGGCAGGCATGGCGCGACAGATTAAGGAACGGGTGGCGCAATGTGAGGCTTGCGACCGCAATAAGGCCCAGTTGGAGAAGAGCCAGCAAGAGCTACAGTCGCTCCCCATCCGTGGGTTGGGCTACAGATGGTCCTTGGATCTGGCGGGGGAATTGCCTCTCAGCCGGCGAGGCAAGCGGTACATTTTGGTCATGATAGAGCATGTCAGCAAGTGGGTGGAGGTGCGCGCGCTTAGCAGCAAGAGCGCGGCACTAGTCACGGAAGCCTTCACGGAGCAAGTGCTCACCAGGATGGGGGCATGTGGTGAAGTGCTCACGGATCAGGGCACAGAGTTTCGGGGGGAGTTTGACAAGGCGCTGGCAGTTATCGGGATTACGCACAGGAAGACCTCCCGGTATCATCCACAAGCAGATGGCCTCACAGAGCGGATGGTGCAAACACTCAAGCGAGGGCTACGGGCGTATGGAGAGGCACACAAGCGCAGCTGGGATGAGGATCTGCACTGGGTCGCTGCGGGGTACCGGTTCAGCAAGCAGGCGGCGCTGCGAGATGTGTCCCCATACTATCTGCTCTATGGCAGAGAGCCGATGCTGCCGGTAGGGGCGCCCAAAGTGTTGTCTGATGTGGTGATAGCAGGAACCCCAGAGTTGTGGGCAGCACTGGCCAAGGCCAAGAGGGATTACCTACGAGCGCTTCTGCCTTCAGCGTTAGAGAATCTTCATGTGGCTCAGCTGCGAGACGCGCATCGGTACCAGCAGAGGCTCAGGGGGCAGAGGCCAACATGTGGAGGGCAGCTGCAGGAAGGGCAGGAAGTGTATCGCAGGACTGCGCGGCAGCACACGTTGGACCGTGGCCTCAGCGAGGAACGCTGGAGAGTGGTAGAGGTCCGAGAGTCTGGAGTGGTGGTGCTGGAGAATCAGCAGGGTAGGAGGGTCCAGGACCACACCACGAATACAGCAAGGGCGCGATGTAGGAGTTTGAGTGGTCTGGATCAGAGCCAACAGGAGCCCTAGTCTCTTCCAGAGGGGGCAAGTGAGGTGTCACGTTGGAACGCTGCCACACGGCACACAGTATACAGCAGTTAGGGCGCTGGTAGTACCCCATAGCGAGAACAAGAGAGAGTGGGGGGGGAGGGGAGAGTCCAAGGAGAGACAAGTGGGGAGGGGAAGGGAGACCCAGGGGGCTACAGGCATTGCCGGCGGGAGTCAGGAGAAAGGGGCCATGCAGAGTATTTCCGACAGCTGTCGCGGTTTATGTAGCCAAGAGGGCCGCATAGTAACCGAGACAGCGCCAAGAGTTGGCAGCAGGGAGAGTGGGAGGATGTAGCAGAAGCTGAATCTAAAAGGGCGGAGGGAAGAAGGGTGGGTGTACATATTTGTAAATAACGCTTAAGAATGCATGCATGAGAATGGTGGGTGTATGAGTTGGGGTGGGTGTATGTTTCGTTTGTATCCTGTGCAGGGCGAGAGCTGTTGACGCGAATAAGCACAGCACAACCGACAGGTGGCAGAAGCTGCAGTTGAACATGCACGCCAAGCTTGCAGCTGGCGAAGGGCTTGCGCTGGAGCCCATGCAGATTCAGAGCGCCTGCGGTTTGTAAATATGGCTCGGCACCCCGAGCCTCGCCCATGTGATGTTTGCTTGCTAGAAGCGCCAGGCTAGGGCAGCAAGGTTGTCTTATACATAGCAGAGCTAAAACCCTAGTGTTGGCTGCTTCGTTGTATTTTTCCCGTTTGCTCCAATGTAATCCTGTTAACCCAGTCACAGGCAGTCATGAGCCCGCTAGGGAACCAGCTTGTCAGCCAGTAGTGGGAAGGAGATTTTCTGACCAGTGAGGTGTCACGTTGGAACGCTGCCACACGGCACACAGTATACAGCAGTTAGGGCGCTGGTAGTACCCCATAGCAAGAACAAGAGAGAGTGGGGGGGGAGGGGAGAGTCCAAGGAGAGACAAGTGGGGAGGGGAAGGGAGACCCAGGGGGCTACAGGCATTGCCGGCGGGAGTCAGGAGAAAGGGGCCATGCAGAGTATTTCCGACAACTACGACGACTAGCGCGAGCACCATGAAAAGGCGACACTGGACAAGACGCAGGCTCACGACGCTCAGCAAGAACTCTTGTCGGACTAGCGTAAGGAGACAGAGCAGGCAGCGGGGAGGTGGGTTGTAGCTGTGACGGCAATAGGACAGGCGGTGGACACTCCAAGGAAGGGGGTGGACTAGGAGAAGGCGGGAGACCAAGAACCTGCTCAAGGAGCGGAAGGAAGTACGGCCGCGGCCGCTCAGCACCCCCAGAACCAGCAAGAGCACCACCAGCAGCACCTGCAGCTCCACCAGCTCTATCGGCAGCTCCAGCAGCACCTCCATCAGCTCCAGCACTAGCTGCACCAGTAGTAGCACCACCAGCAGCTCCAACGGTTCCACCAGCTCCACCGGCAGCTCCAGCAGCACCTCCAGCATCTCCAGCACCAGTAGCACCAACAGCAGCACCACCAGCAGCTCCACCAGCTCGACCTGCTCCACCGGCAGCTCGAGCAGCACCTCCAGCAGCTCCAGCACCAGCAGCACCAATAGCAGCACCACCAGCAGCTCCACCAGCTCCACCAGCTCCATCGGCAGCTCTAGCAGCACCTCCAGCAGCTCCAGCTCCAGCAGCACCCCCAGAACAGAACCAGCAGCTCGAGGGTCTCCAGCTCCAGTACCTCCAGCAGCAGCACCCCCAGACCCGGTACCTCTAGTGCCAGAGTCTACAGCAGGACCTCCTCCAACACTACCGGCCTCGGCAGCTCGAGTACCTCCAGTACGAGCACCTCTAGGGCTTGTGGTGTTAGCAGCACAAGTGTCTCCAGCTCCAGCTGTAGTACCGCCAAATCCAGGACGCCTCCGCAGTAGCTGACGAAACGCAAACCACTCTCGCAGCTCCTCTGGTGTAAGGGGCCGGCGAGAAAACCGGTCCAGCTCCCTCCATCTCAGTGCGCCTAGGCTCTGCACCCTCCAGGACCTCACGCACTGGCACAGCACCCCCAGACTCCGCACCCTCCAGCACCTCACGCACCGGCTCAGCACCCTCAGGCCCCGCACCCTCCAGTACCTCACGCCGTGGCTCAAAACCTCCAGACACAGCACCTCGAGCAGGACCACCCTCAGCAGCACCTAAGTCGCTGGTGACCTCGACAGGCTCAGCGAAGGGGGGTGGGTCTACCTGAGACACACTTGAAGGAGCAGGACCCTGGGGGGGAAGGGGGTCTACCGGAGGGGGACCTGGAGCGAGGAATAGCGGCAAGGGAGGGAGAGGGGTAGTGCGGTAGGGAAAGAGGCGGTAGAAAGGGACTGACTCGTTAAAGGTGGCGTCCTGAGAAGACAGGACACTACGCGAGGCGGGGTGGTAAAACTGCCAGCCAAGCGTGTCAGTCGGAAAGCCGAGGAAGACACAGGGAAGGGTGCAGGAGGAGAGCTTGTCCGAGGACGTATCGCAAGCAAGAGCACGGGCACCCCAGACCCGGAACACCGACGCATCACCAACCTCCCCCGTCCACCTCAGTGTGGGCGAGGTCTCCGGAATGGAGACACGGGGCCAGAGGTTGAGCTGCTGTGCGGCGTACCGGACGGCAAACGGCCACAGAAAATGGGGAGCCGCCGCATGGATCAAGGAGGTACGAGCGATCTCCATGACCAGGCCAATGCGGCGCTCAGCAACCCCATTTTGCTGAGGTGAGCCCGGAAGCGTGTAAGACTTGGTGATGCCCTCCTCTTGATAGAAGCCACACAAGAGGTCGGAGGCGAACTCTCCGCCCCTGTCAGAGTGTAGATGCAGAACAGGGAGGTCGGTGTGAAACCTTCTGCGTAGCTGGAGACGAACCGCTCGGATCCAAGGGATCGGGATAGCAGGGACCTCACCCTTGGTGCGCAAGGGGAAGACCGTGGTGTAACGTGAGTAGTCGTCAACTACCAACAGGAAGTACCGCTCTCCACCCCGTCCGCTGACGCTAGCAGGGCCCCACACGTCCATGTGGAGAGTCTGCAGCAGAGCCTCTGTCGAAGGAAAAAAGGAGGAGTGAAGAGCGGCACGCTGCCGCCCCTCAACGCAAGGAAGGCAGGTCGGGGCAGGCGAAGCAGGGAGGGGAGGCAGGGTCCGGGGAAGACCAGACACAAGGATGTGACGGTGCATGTCACGAAGACGGGGCAGGGAGGTGTGGCCCAGACGGTGGTGCCAGAGAACGGTCTGTTGCAACAGGGAGTGACACGAGCAAGGGGAGTCTAGCTGACCTGATGCAGACGCCTGACCGTCAGCAGCGACCTGTGGAGACACAGTGGTCAGTGTGTCAAGGCTCGACCCTGGCACACGCGTGAACGTGGCCAGGTGTCGCCCAGTCCTTGAGCACGTACAGATCGCCACACGCTGTCCTCCAGGGGTGAAGGTATCAACCCAGTAGTCCTGAAGGACAGCGTTGCTCACCAAGTTCGTAGAGAACGAGGGGAGGTGGAGACCTGACAGCAAACCAGACGGGACCGCTGGGCAAGAAAGCACAGTGGTAGACCGTGCAAGGACTGGACCTCCCGAGGGGTCAGCCAGGGAGACTGCAACTGGTGCAGGGAGCGGTGTGAGGGCTGTGCTGTCACGGAAGAAACAGCTGGAAGCACCTGAGTCAAGAGTGAAGGTGTGCAAGGAGGTAGAAGGCGCAGTACCTGACAGAGCTGACTCACCCGCACCTAAGGCAGCAGACGCGGGTACCTGAGAGCGTAGACTTGCAAGCACCAAGAGCTCCTGGTTCTATACCTGGATCCGGCGGCAGACACAGGTAGCAGTCACACTCAGCACTAATAGACAATGCATACATGGCAGCAAGAATAACATCATAGTCAAGAGCAAAGATGTCTACACCCTTCTTAAGCAGATCAAACAAGCGAGGGGTCTCAACCTCTGCACCCTTCTCCTCACGCCAGGCGTCGTCAAGGCGGGAGAAGCAACGCTGCTGGGGGTGGGGCTTGCCGCATGTCTGACCAGTACGCTCACCGGTGGGAATGACATACGGACAGCGAGTACCCCCAGACGTACCCCTCTGAGCCAACCACTCATGAAGCTGCTGAGGCGTAAGGGACCGCTGCTGCTGCTGTCTCTGACCAGCGCCTCCACCACGACCGCCACCGCCTCCGCTGCCTCCACCACCGCCACTACCGCCACCACCTCCACTCCCACCGCCGCCGCCACCACCACCACCTCCCCCACCGCCGCTGCCACTCCCACCAGCACCCCCGCCTACACTGCCTCCACTCCCACCGCCACACCCACCTCCTCCACCTCCTCCTCCGCCGCCACCGCCACCACCGCCCTTGCCCCCCTTGCCCTTGCCGGTGCGGCGCCGCCCGGTAGAAGCGGAGGCAGCACCAATCGAGTCGGCTCTGAAGAAGTCTACGGCAGCAGCAGTGGCGTAGGAGGGGGCAAGAGGGGAAGAAGCGCACCCCTCAAAGATGGGGGTGCGAGGAGCGCCACGAGCAGCAGCCACACTAACAATGCTACTCTCACCGGCTAAGAGGTGCTCCTCTAGGAGGTCTATGGTAAGGTCGGAGGGACAGCGCGCTAGGAAGTGGTGCCTGACTGAGCGAAGGTTGTGAGGGATGAGGGTCGCTATAAAGTGGAGCGTCCAGTACATCAGAGGGGGGTGCTGGGCAACAAACTCCTTGCGGAGTGTGGCACGGACACGAGCGTCACTAGAGCAAAGGTGGGTGATGAGGTCGGCTACGGTGGCAAAGCTCGACAGCTCGGGGAACAGGTACGGCAGCATGAGGCGGCTGAGCGGAGCAGTGGCAGGAGAGGAGTAGCGAGCAACTACAGCGTCGTACAGGGCCTTAGCGGTTTTGTGCTCGCCAAAGTGCTTGAGTTCCGCTAGCGGCAAGTGGTTGCGAATAGCAAGGCGGGTAGCAGCATTGCGCGTCAGCCACTGAGAGCGCTCGCTAAGGGTAGCTATGTCAGCAGGAGCGGCTAGGGCCCCGGAGGTGTGGTCAAAGAGTGAGATCTCGTCTTTGCTGGTGCTAATGAGGTAGAGCTGCAAGTCATCTAGCCAGGAGTCGAACTCTACAGGGCGGCCCTCAGTGTTGAAGGAAAGAACACGAAGGGTGGCCATAGTGCTAGGTGGTGACGAGCAGCAGGAGTAGTGTGCAAGCAGGGCGCGCGACAGGCGAGCAGGGCTCAGGTAGGGCGCGCTGCAGGAGGGCACTAGCACAGGTAACGCGTGAGGCACAGCGTGCGGCAGCCGGGAGCGCGACGAGCAGGGCGTGCGGCAGCAGGGCGTGCAACGCAGCAGGGCGGGCGGCGCAGCAGCAGGAAGCGTGACGCAGCAGGGCGGGCGAGACGGCAGCAGGCGCGAGACGCAGCAGCGTGTGAAGAAATGAGGAATGAATGAAATAGGAAATGAGTTGGGTACAAATATGAAACCCTAGAAAGCTGTACCCCGTACTGTCTACCCCACTACAGCCTACAAAGACTATAGCATATAAGTTCGACACAGGGTGGGTGAGGCAACAGCAAGGCGCGCAGCGCCGCAGGGCGGGCAAGGCGGCAGCAGGGCGCGCGACGCAGCAGGGCAGGCGTCGCAGCAGCAGCGCGGGCGACGCAGCAGGGCGGGCGTCGCAGAAGCAGCGCGCGCGAAGCAGCAGGGCGGGCGACGCGGCTAAAGGGCGCGCGACGCGGCGGGCGGGCGATGTGAGGATCTAGGAGGATCTAGGATCGAGCTAAAAAAAGAGAATGTGAATTGAATCGAATTGAATGAATCACCTGGGTACAACACAAGGCTATATATAGGCCTCGAAGGTTCCGCGGGTCGCGAAGCGTCCCGAACAGATCCTTCCCAAATTCGGTAGAAGGCAATTCAGTGGCAACCGAAAAGCCAGAATTCGGTGCACGCAACCTAGCTCGGTGCTATAACTATAATAAAATATAGGAAAGCAGCTGGCCTAGGAAATCAAGCAATTCATGCATGCATATAATTATCCTATGCTAGAAATAGCATAATAAAGTAAAGGCAAGCAAGCATAGCTAGCATAAGCCGTCGTACTCTCACACGTCCCCCCCTCAAAGCTGGGTGGCGTGAGATACACCCTGCTTGACAAGATAGTCCTTGAGAGCACGGCGTGCGTTGCCCATATCAACTTCTGCAACCCAAATATCCTCAGTGGGGTCGTATCCCTTACAGCGTATCAGGAACTTGAGGGCCTTGCCGCCACGGTGCCGATGAGAGAGAACGCGCTCGATCTCGTACTCTGGTTCATCCTGTATGAGAACAGGTGGTGGTGGGGGTAGTTGCCGTCCTTGGAACTGTTGGTTGGGGTCCTTGTAGAGTTTCAGTAGTTGGACATGGAAAGCGTTGTGAAGGTTCCATGTATCTAGTAAGCGCAAGCGGAATGTTACTGGTGTCACCTGTGCCTCAACGAGAAAAGGACCACAAAAGCGAGGCCGGAGTTTGGATGGGAGGTGAGACAGGTTCAAGTTGCGCGTGTCAAGAAGCACCTGATCTCCGACTGCTACTGAGTGATCACGTTGCTGACGATTGGCATACTACTTCTGGGAGGTCTGTATCGTCGTGAGTCGCTGTTGAGTCTTCTCCCATAGCTGCTGCATGGTGGTGAAGAAGTCATTTGCGGCTTGGACGTGTGCCGGTGTGGTTGGCTGCTGTGGTGTGAGTGGTTCCCGTCCGTAACACAGGAAGAAAGGAGTTTTCCCTGTGGCCGCATGTGAGGTGTTGTTGTAAGCAAACTCTAGGGTCGGTAACTGTGTGTCCCACTGGCTGACGTCGTCCTTGCAAGTTGTGCGTAGTAACTGTTCAACCACTTGATTGAGTCGCTCTGTCTGTCCGTCAGTCTGGGGGTGGTATGCTGAAGACATCGCAAGCTTTGTCCCCAACAGTCCCATGAGCTCCTTCCAAAACTTACTGGTGAATTTTGGGTCTCTGTCTGAGATGAGTGTAGCGGGGATGCCGTGGATGGTGATGATGCGGTCGAAGAAGAGGCGAGCAGTTGCTTCAGCTGTAGCTGTGGCGTTGGTCGGTATGAAGTGACCCATTTTGGAGAACTTATCGATTACTACGAGGATGGAATCGTGCCCCCGTGAGGTCGAAGGGAGTCCTGTGATGAAGTCGAGGCTAACGACCTGCTATGGCTGCTCCGGTACGGGTAGAGGCTGAAGTAACCCTGCTTTTTTCTGCTTGCTACTCTTCATCCACTGGCACGTGTCGCAAGAGGTGACAAACTGCTGCACGTCTGCTGCCATCCCGTGCTAGTAGTAATACTTCGCTATCCCTGCTAACGTCTTGTTGCTCCCGAAATGTCCCGCGTAACGTACGTCGTGAAACTCCTCCAATAGGATCTGCCGTAGCGGGGCGTAATTCGGTACCCAAATCTTTCCTGAACCCTTCCTTACCGCTAAGTCTTTCTCCCACTGTAACAGCTTCTTACTGAGGTAGGCGATGGGCTGCAAACTGCGTTCGTGATGCTGCATCAGTACTGCTTCGACTGCTTGGTCACTAGCGTCTGCTTCCACCACGTAGTCTCTGGCTGGATCCGGTAGGATGAGTACTGGCGCTGTAGTCAGTGCTGTCTGTTTGTTCTGTGCGCGGTAGTCGATGCACATCCGTAAACTACCATCTGGCTTTGGAGTGAGGAGAACTGGTGCACCGTAGGGAGAGGTGGATGGGCGGATCAGTTGTCTGTCCAGTAGATACTCTATCTGTTTTTTTCATGTCTGTTAGTTCGGTCGGACTCAGTCAGTATGGTGCACGTGGGACGGGTTTCGCACCTGGTTCCTCCACGATCTCGTGCTCGTGGGTGCGTGCTGGAGGTACGCTTGCGAGTAGGTCGTTGGGCATTATATCCTTGTACTGCTCCAAGACCTCCTCCTCTGCTGCTGTTCTAACCAGTGCTAAGTAACCCGTGTTACTCTCGTTCACTGTCCGTTCGAACCATGCCAGTGTCGTTTGAGGAACGCTCCCTGTATCCGTCTAGCTTCGCAGCTCCACTCGTTTCCCGTTGTTGTAGATGCATGTTTTCCGGTTGACCCAGTCAATCTCGGGGTTGAACCGCTTCAGAAAATCTCGCCCCAAGATGAAATCTAATCCCTTGATGTTCGTGATCGGCAACGTCGGCTTCCACCTCAACGCCCCTAACTGCAGCTGTAGTGTTGACTTGCCGTGGATGGGAAGCTTCGTACCGTCCACCATCGTTGCTGTAAACTGGGTTTCTTCTCAACATTCTACAATTTTCTCCAACGTCCCGCGGTCGCACACCGAGTGGGACGCACCACTGTCCACCAGGGCCTGGAGGCGACGCCCGTTGCAGATCACCTCGAGTACTAGTGGTTGCTGCTGCTCCGAGTATCCGTAGATGGTATCGCTTATAGGATCGTAGGGTACGTCGAATATGTTATCCCTAGATCCTGCGCTCGAAGATGCAGCTTCAGTATCAGTTTTCAACTGAGAAAGGTTAGAAGGATTTATCCAAGGCCGATTCGGCTTCTCTTGGGCCTGGAACCTTCCACTAAGCCTTTGCAGCTGTGTAGGCTTCATCTGTGGGGAACAAGGAGCCTTGAAACAGTGTTGCTGGGAGAGAATATTAACTCCTCGGAACGCTCCACCCGTATTAGCGCTCTGGAGTAGGGTCCCCATAATACCCGATACCGGTTTAATTTCTGACTCTCCCTTAATAAAGGCTTGAAACCCACGAGAAGTAATATTCTTACTTGTCGGGGTATACGGATGGAGTTTCCCGGTCGGTGCAGGATCTTGTTTCGCAGATCCTCCATTAGTCTCGGCGATTTCCCCTGGTGCCGGCTGGTCGTGACGTTTTAAATTTGCGCCACAATATTCTCCTTTTTTCACCCTCTCCGAAGTTGCCACGTTGTCCGTTTGCTGCTTCGGGGGTGCCGCACTGGTCTTGTCCTTCAGCTCCGTACACCTTCTCTTCATTTTCGAACACGCCAAGATACGATGTCATGTAGCGCCGCAAAATTTGCACGTCTCATTATTTGCTAGCCGTTGCTCCACATCGCCCTCGTCGTTCTCCATCGGGTCGGCAGTCATGGGTGGTGCCAATCGCCCCATGCCACTAGTTGGCTTGTTGCGTCGTGTTCCGTAGTAGCTACTGTTCAACGTGTCGAACTGTTCGATCAGTGCTGCCGGAAACTGCGCCCACGTCCCCTCTCCTTGGACTATTCTGTTGTTAATCCACTCTAGAGCTGGGCCTCGTAATAGTGTTGCTGCGAGCCGTATGCGCATTGCGTCTTTTGTCGGGGTCGTGCATCCAACCGCTTCGAAGTAAATTTCGAGTTCAACTACAAGTCGACGAACGTCGTTCCTTTTTACTGTTGGTTCGAACGCCTCCGGTAGCCTCGGCTTCACTGCTTCGAGGTTAACTGTAGCTGCTGCCGTTGTCGCATGTAGAATTGTCGGTGTTGCCGCTGCTGCTGCTGCTACTGTTGTCGCTGCTGCTGTGGCGGTTGCCGACTGCTTTGCAAGGAGTTTTTCGAGTCGTGGGAGCGCCGCATGTATTTGCTAATGCTCAGCACGTAACTCCGTGATTTTCTGTACTGAAATATATCTTTTTCCCTCCATTTGGCAATTTACAGGAAGATGTGCGACGAAAATAATCGAATTCTAAGTGTTGGTCGACTTACTGCGAGTCAAGTTGACTATCGGATCGACGAGCGCAAATTCTGTAGGTCGCGTATATCTCCCCCGAGCGAAATTCGCGTCCGATCTTGGCCGTTGAGGAGAAAATCAATCCGACGTTCCAAATTCCAACTTTTTTGGGCGAAATTCTCTAGGCCGTTGCGATGAAACTCGATCGAACAGTCGAAACTCCAACCTTTCCACCAGTAAATCTGAGGGGTGTTCTAAAACCGAATCGAGGGGGACTTCAAAAAATTTCGCGGAACTAGTTTTACATACCCGTATCGGCGCTTTCGTCATCGCCCTCGCGGTTTTTTAAGGGCCGAAACTAAGCGGTTGAAGACCTCTCGTGAAAACTCGCTCTGATTACCAAGTCTGAGGATCTAGGATCAAGCTCTGAAAAGAGAATTTGAATTGAATCGAATTGAATGAATCACCTGGGTACAACACGAGGCTATATATAGGCT